GTATTGATGGATTGATGTTTGTAACTCCAGAACGGCTCAACGGATGTAGATAAGATTTGTCATGGATGTAGAATAGAGTCAGGAAGGGCACATAGGATACCATTTTTTATTTTAGTTCGGACGGAATCTGGAGCGACAGGTAAGGTATTATGGGGTAGAGCACGTACCCTCGGTAGCCCACCTGGCAACCACCAGCGTATTCATGGACGCTCGAAGCTAACCTCGAGCCGCCATAATGTTTGAATGTTATAATACACAAGTACAGTCGAGCCCGGAAGCAATTAGCATCCACTGCGCCAGGAAAAAAGTCATCAACTTTCATATCTATTATAAAGAAAAGCAAGAGTAAATTATTCTGCTATCTCGACTTTCTATAAAAAAAAATGTTTCTACTTTATATTGGAAAAAAACTAGTTTTATCAAGTAACTCAGGCAGAAAATATCTTTAGGTTGACAGTAATACTTTAGGATAAAGTCGTCAATTAGATATAGATATTATGAACAATGTCTGTACGATATTTAGCGATTTTAGATGAGCGCCTTCATATCGTCATCGTCATCTATGTCAAAACTAGCTGAACCCGCGACTCCATCCACGCGATATTAAAAACAAAATAGTCTACGTGTTGTTCCAGACTATGTTCTACATGCATGCCAAATTTGCATCATTGCAGTCGTTCCGGAAATACCTTCAAACATCTATCCATCTAAACATTTGCATTCATAATAGTAAGAAGTAAGATTAGTATGAGATCTTTATTTAAATTTCACCCAATAGGGGCGCTGCACAAATTTAAATACATTTGTCGATGACGATACAATGGTGTTTGTCACAAATATTCATGCTAAACCCACTGTTACTAAATATTACGTATCTATGTACGTGTGATCATATAAGTGTGAAATGTTCACCGAGACGTATGAAATCATACAAGTAGCGCCACTCTACGGCTTCTCAGTGCTTATGCGTGATGCAGTGCCTTGATTTGTGTTACTATTTAGAGAATACATGGATTTATTGATTAGGGTTCAGTAGGTTTTTTTTAGTAATTTATGTACAAAATAAATAAATTAATATAATCTACCGCTGATACTATTACAATACTTTGACTTTAAACTATACTGTAGTATAATTATAATATTAACGCAGCATTACCATCTGCAAGAAAGGTATGGTCTCTATACTAGTCAGAAATCCAAGTGCGACATCCATACTAACATGTGTTCATATAAACAAAGTCAATAGAGCAACCGTATACAGTGTCCTGTAATGTCCAAGCATTATGGACACACCGGAAATTTTGGATTAATTTTGCTGCAACATTTCGAGGTGGAAACCCATTGTTTATACTTAAGATAAGCCAATAAAACATAATATGTTAATATTATTAGTACGCATGAGAAGAGGAAAATATATAATACTCCGTTTTTATTATCTTATTGCTTTATTGATATATTCTGCGTAAAGAATACTTCTACTGAACCCTAAACATTTTATAAAATACGCACTGTGGTTACAACATAAATATGTAGTCAATGCCTCTTACAGCATACTTATCACAACTTACAAGATTTAACAACAGAATATTCTTTAAATAAATACATACTATCACCTTGTAGACGTAACAAGTTAGTTTACCTAAAATCTAATCTAGTAATCCTATTCTAGTAATCAAAATTGGAATGACTTTGTAAAACTTCAGAGCGCCAATAACCTAATGGTTAAGGGTAGGGATTGTCGATCACTTGGTCGAGAGTTAGAATTCGACTACTGTACTGTACTGTAAATTAACAAAAATCTGCCAATATTTTATTACATAAAATAACTGAAAATATAATATTTAAAATTTTCATCTGTAAGCCTAAACACAATCACCGTTTGTTCCGGGTAATCTCCAGAGCTATGCATACGGGCGTTTTATATTCTACTTTTTCCTGCAATTACGAAGTTACGTTTATCCGTTGGTCGTTAATAAAATACTGACAATTATATATAATATAATAATATAAAAAAATCAAAGATTAACTCGTAAATTCTTTTTCAAAGACATTTTTAGATTAATAATAAGATTTTAATTCAAAAACTGTAGCATATTTATTTGTAGACCAATACCAGAACAATTAATCTCACTAGTGTAAATAAAGGTCAATACACATAGAAACAAATGAAAATTGTCTGTCCGTTTACCCGTACAAGGCATGCGATGTCCGATAATGTGTCTATTTAATAGCGTCCTTGACTGCCTGTCCGAGTGTGCGACGCATACCACGTAAAACCGGTCGTAAGACATGTTTACTTTTGTTATAACACTTTTTATTCTTGACTATTGGTTATACTAATATGATTATTAACTTCTAATCATAAAATATTTTGGATTTATAAAACTGCATTTCATAAAAATGTTCAATTCAATTGTGTTTGCTAATCGTGGGTTCACACTGCGACATAATAGAAATATTTATCTCTTATTTTTTATACGAATATTTCAACAATGTAAACCCACGATTATCATTTGGTCCGAAAATTCAAGTTCAAGCGATTTAATACTAAAGAAATTCATATTATTTAGCTTTTACAATAACCTAAACCTAATCCGTATTACCTAAGCCTTCTATAAAAAAACCCAACTTTATTATTATAGTTAGCACAGTATAACTGTAAAGTTCCACTGCCGCTGTTCAAAACATACCCTCTATTCTACTTTTAACATTAACCGTGGGTTTCCGAGATCAAAATCCCTGTCTAAATCATATTGTTATCTCTGTTTTGTCAAAGATAATAACATGGATGACGATATGTTTTATACACATATTTTGCTCTCAGAAACCCACGGTCAGTAACAAACAAACTCAATAACAAACAGGTAATTAGTTTTTCCACTATCCTTTAACAAAAAGCGAAGTTTATAATCCAATCAAGAAACTACATTTCAAATAATGTCTAGACTCATCATCATCGGCTCACTATACGTCCCCACCGAGGGGCTCGGAGCCTGCCCTAAGTTAAGGGTGATTAGGCCATAGTCAACCAGGCTGGCCAAGTGCGGGTTGGTTGACTTCACACATATCTTTTGAATTTCTTCTCAGATATGTGCAGGTTGCATCACGATGTTTTCCTTCACCTTAAGAACGTCGGATAAATATACAGATGTAAATCGAAAATCGAAAAACACATTGGTACATGACGGGATTCGAACACAGGACCTGCAGATTGCAAGTCAAGTGCTTGACCACTGAGCCACCGACGCTCCTTGATGAATGAATGTCTAGACTAAACAAACCAAATTATATTCGCTCTTTCTAATCGTTTACAAAGTTAATCCAATATGAAATTATTTCAAAATTCATTTACAACACCGAGTTTATCTTATAAATAAGTAAAAGGCAACTCGAACCGACTTGCAAAGGCCGTGAAGTTATGACAGGTACACTTTGTTAAACCCACTTTTGCCCACTTACCTCCGAGTTTATTTTAACTGCGCGGAATATTCATTGCTCTTACCTGTAAAAAAGAAAAACAGTTTAGTTAAAACCACATGATATTTAAGAGTATTTTTTAATAAAACAATAAGGTTATCAACCAATTCATCACTATAATATGTCGTTTCAATACAATATCGGCCTGATCGAATTGGCCCGGCTCTCCCGGTGAAATACCACGACCACACAGAAGACAGGCGTCAAGTGGAAGTAATTCCGCGTTTCGTCAGATGAGTGTGCGTCCCGGAGGCCTAATTTAGTTCTCTTTGCACTCTCACATGCAATTGTGCATGTCTATGAGCAACGGTCACTTCGCTATTTCAGCGTTTACAGGTGGCCGCTCGCTCGTTTGCCACCTTATAATATGAAAAAATATCTATATAAAGTAAACTTTTTAAGTCAAATTACATACATGGCAGCCATTACGTTATTTTACTTGTTACTAATAATCTCTATAAATCAGTCTTCCCCAAAGTGGGCGATAACGCCCCCTTGTGGGCGCTGCAGGTCTCAAGTTGCGGGTTATAGTTAAAGTTTCGTTTAGAATTATCCGTTAATATACATATATAGATCACAATAACTAATTAATTTAATTTGAAGTTACAGTGGTTTTTAAATATGTGAAAATATGGGGGCGCTAAAAAAATATTTAATCTCAAAGTGGGCAGTAGATAAAATAAGTTTGGGAACCACTGGTAGAAATAGATAGGTCATTGCTAATAAATGACATACTTCATTCCGAATTAAACGCACCATTTGAAGTTCCTGTTCACTACCAACAAACCATCATCGTCAATATGTCGAAAATCAAATAGGCACAAAACACCACTGTTTATAACATATCCATGTATAGAGTTTAACAGATAATAGTAGTTATAGTTATTCAAATGTGTTAATACCAGCTGATTGTATAATAAAACAAAAACTGATTAGGTCGGGGATAACACGAGGTCAGTGGAAGTGTTAATGTTCTTATTCATATCGTCGTCTGTTGTCACAAATAAGTTTGTCATTGTAAACTCTATTATAGTGGTACCAACTTATTTGACCCGGTAAGAAAAGGGCTATTACTACGGCTAGTTCTGTCAGAAAATATATAAAACTTACTTAGAAAAAATAATAAATACTTTTTGGACAACAAGATTTTCTTATGTATAATCATAATAATTTGGTATTTCAAGGGACTTTTAGGTGTCAAGTATTTTCTAGTTAATTGATATCATTGTTTAGTTAACTTATCAAAGTGCTATATGTATTTTAAAGTTATCTTGCAATGTTTGTCGACAACACTTCAATATAAACGATAAGTTCACAAGCGTGTGTTCATTATATGTCAATTTGGCAGCCTATTTCTAACATTAGATCTTAATCTTAAAAAAGAAACTGGCATGGTTCATGAAACATAATTCTCAAAAAAGAGAAAAACAACTATTTTTAACTATTTAAAACTTAAGTAATTACATTCTTCAGTCTATAAAACGATTACAAACACATATAAATTAATGTTATCATCATTTTACCTGTACAGAAGATCTGGGGGAGACGGGCGACGTTGGCGTACGCGCTGGAGGCTCGGCCTTATGTTCTGCGAGCACTCGATGTTCGTGCTTAGTACCGACCACAGAATTCTTCACGCGTTCCATACGCGCCTGTATGGCTTTACGAGATATCACCTTACTCTTCTCATCTTTAGTTCCACCGTCAGCTAGCTTCCTCATCAGACGAGCAGTAGCTGCTACATTGTGCTGTTGAGTATCCGAATGAGTCCTCGCTAGGCGAGTGGCCGGTCGAGTTGCTGGTGCTGTCGCACCAGTGCTACTGCGAGTTGTTTCGTTTCTATTGAACGGTACCGCATCATGTTCCGTATCCGAATCCGTTGGTAGATATCCCCCACCACCGACTGAAGACACCCCAGTACGTAATAAGTTCTCATGTTCCGCATATCTCACTCTCTCATCTACAGATACATTACCATTCTGTGCACGTTCTAAACCACGTTCCATTTCACCGATTTGTCGTTCCAGTTTACGTAGTACATCGTCAGATGGCGGTGTCGGTCCATTTTCGTCCGGGGGGTCCGGTGTTTGGAACGATTTGAGATGTATTGGATGTGTTCTGTTTATTTCTAGGCGTTTGGGCGCTATGCCTGTAGCTGTGACCTCGTACTGCGCTCTGGACGGTTGTGGGGTGCGTTCCAGCATGGCTAGGGAGACGAGGGGTGGCTGGGGGCCGTTACCCTGAGTCTCGGGGCTCTGCGCAGCTCTATGTGCACGGAAACTTTTACGCATAAAATCTTCTCGAGTTAATTTCCTCTCCATTTTAATTAGAGAGCATAATCTAAATTAACACAACTGTTTTCCATTCGATAATGTTTTTAAATTTAGCACTGATTTATGATAGTTCCATTACATTGATCGGGATCTGCGAAATTAAAAGATTTACACCTGCATGGTCCGTACCTCAACTAATATCTTCCCTAAATTCGATCGGATTGAGACTTGTAAACAATTGAATAATTCAAATACAGAAGAAAGTAAAACTAGAATAAAAAAATCGATTCCGAATCGAGAATTGTGACGTCAACCGAGCTAACAAATCAAATATTACACTGACGCATATAGGACTAACGATTCTTGCGATAACCTTGTACCAACGCGATAATCGATTGATAAACTATTAAATATTACTGATGTTACACTTGGCCAGCTAAGTTTAGAATGAAGCCATATTTAAAAGAAATAAAAGTCAACTAAACCACAAAGTACAAACCCTAACATTTACGAAGATTTCAACATACAAACAATATACATAGCTATAAATATTTCCAAGACTTTATAAATGTAATGAATCTTATAATTCACAGAGGATTTATACATCAAAGAAGACATTAAAAACCCATCAATAGATTTCTTTAAACCAAAGATCTAACATATGCTTGTATCAACTCATCCAAAATAATCAAACCTTACAAAACTGCCAAGTAATCCATAAAACTAAAAAACCTAATTCTTTCAGTGCGAAGGAGACAGCTGCAACCAGTCCATCTGGAAAGAAAGAGACAAAACATACGCGTTAGTTTAAAGGTTGGTATATAACCGTTCACCAAGACCCATCAGCGGCACACAAAGCTTGTAGACACGAAGACCTGGAATAGACACGACACAAACCCAGTAGACATAGACATTAATAAATAGACAGACACAATAAAAGCGACAAACACAAAACATACAAAAGACAACTAATTGCACAAATTATACCTCAGTAGTATCTTGTTTCACAATTCCAATGTCGTAAATTAAATATAACTATCCCTCTCATCGTCTCTGAAGAAACAGAGACAACTATATGAACTTAAACAGGTGCCACGGCAAAGAGTAAAGTAGAAATGTTTCAAACAATATTTAATATTGCAATGGATATCAAATAAGGTATTATATAGTTATTGGAATCAATTACATTATTTTTTGGATAACGATATAAAATATAAGAAAACTTCGGTCATCCAGATTTTAATACATTCTAACAAACATCGTATTTGAAAGACTAGAAATAATTATTATTTATCACGTAATGGTAATGATTATGAATATCAGATTAGATCAACTGATAAGTTTATTACGTTCTTATCATATTTGTAGGACAACCTGTCCATTTATAAATTGAATTTAATTATTAATGCTAACAAGAATATCTAATCCATTTAAATAAAATTCATTATATTATATGTAAAAATATATCACAAAAGATTATGCACAACACTAGTGTCTAGTTGTAGTAACCGTATTATCGACTTTTAGCAACCAATGTTAACTAAAGATGCAAGGATAACGTTTTGTCCGTGAAACCATAATTAAATTAAAAAAAAATATTTGAAGCATATGTGATCTTCCAGATTATGCTCTACATCTATGGCGAATTTAATCGAGATCCGTAAGCCATTTAGAAGATACCTTCTAACAATCACCCATCCATCTAAAGTTTCGTATTTATAATATTAGTAAGATAAACTATGACATGACCAGGATCCTATTCCGAAGTAGTGATAGCAAATTACTACATTTTAACTGAATAAAAGGTGAATAGGGTAAATGTATTGGTTATGGACCACTCCGAATAAACTGTTAGTCCGTACAAAAAACAATCTTTATCGCTATTTTTTAAACATACAGAATAGACAGACAATATTATGTTTAAATACAGGTGTAAACTCAAACGTGGCCGGAACCTTGATCCGCGAACACAACAGATGGCGAATGAAACACGCAATGACTCACGAGTTCCGAACGACACATCCCCTCCCCCAACACCTCACTTCCCCCCGACACAATACACTAGTTTCTCGTATAAGGCTAAAACACATGATAAGCGTTAAGATATTCTGTTGTCTATAAAAAAATCAAAATTTTTATCTTCATCCAGTACTTAAAGACGGCATAAGGCATTTTTAAATTAGTGTTTTACAGATTTTATTTTATAGATTTTTATAAAAGATAGAAATTAACTTTGGCATTTTACCCTATGTCCTATTAAGTAAGATTTTTTTTTAATACGTGTCATTACGTTTTATTTATATGTTGTAATATTATCATGCAGTCAACCACAAAGTATGCATGTGTATTGCGGTTAAATGACTGAATTAATATTTATATCGTCTAATATTACATTCGTTTATAAAAGACATACTTTAAAATGCACTACTGATCGTAACTAGTGTAAATTCAACCATAATGTCGTCGTTGTTTTTTTATTTAAATAGTTATATGGACATTAACTGTGTCAAATTTCAAGTTTCAGGTATTAATTCATAGATGTATAACTTCGTATGCCATTAACTGCAGCGCCTATAACTATGTCTTTAGCAACCAAGGCTCAGAGGTAACAAACCATTTATTTTTTACAAAAAAAAATTCGAAAAAATATATTTGTCAAATTTCTTTATTTTAGTAATCTCTGATTTAGATTTTTTTTGTAATATTATAATTAATTGACATAAAATCGCTAGTGCGTAATCGCCCTTACAATAACCGGAATGGAGGCATCACATTGCGGAGATGGAAAACGCGCTTCAACCGGACAATTGTGATCGCATCAATTTAACGCGTACCCAATGTTTCATAACTCTGAGATCCCACTGCCGTAACAATATAATACTATCTCTATTTTTAAAGTTAAAAAGAGAGAGATGAAAAATACTTTGGCGCAGTTAACTCACATGTTTTACAAAATTCATAATTATGATTAAACCATATTGCTAATATTCTATATTATTACTGTCTAAACACGTTTTCAAACAGAATGGAACGAGACACAATATGTTTCGTAAACATTTTCCAGCAATGCAAACTCATCAGTAAACAAAAGAACTTGCTAACGTATTTTCTTAAAAATAGGAATAAGTTGCTAGCGTCAGTGTTTCCGTCCAGCTATAACGCGGGTGTCTTCACGAGTAGGGTGAATAGGTATATACTGTTAGGAAGAAAATCCGACACTGTGCCGGTGTACTGGCGCAACACTAGCCTTACTAAAATATCGACGTTTATGTCCCCTTTATAATCATTCTAACACTTGACTTTTCACTTGACTTTATAGTTAATTCGTTTAATAACTTTGATATTAACAACAAAAAACACAAGTATGTCTAGGTCAGTCAGTCTCGGTCTGCTGATGATTCAACGGAACACTTTGCCAAGGTGCATTTGTGAAAAAATTAAACAAGAAATAATATTTCTTTTACGTCAAAAAAAATCCCTCAATTTAACAAAAACCATTGAAATACTTCTAAATATAAAACTTAATTGTATTTGCATAAGTTTCATCAACGCTATCATCTTATAGGTTAATATTCAACCATCCATCCTTCCATCCACGTATCCATCAGGTCTTTCCCGTTTGGTTTATCGAGAGGCCGATTGGTCCAAATGGTAACTATCCATTTATCTAATCTTTATAATATTAGTACGATTTCGTGAAAGATAAGAGAAAACATTAGACAAAAACTTTAGTTACTTCTTTTGATCGAAAGACCAACAGCAGTAAGACCTTTATTATAAAAATTACATTAAACAACCCACAAATCTAGTATTCCAACTCTTGAATTAACTGTATGAAATACTATACATTTAAGTGACCGCTATGTTATGCTTAGTGTCGACTCTGCGGTCGACATAATCTTTGTAATAGTGACACATACAGTTTGGTTTGTATAAGTGATGCAATACGATTGCAATACGATGGAAATTATAAGACAATAAGCTACTCGAAAATCTTTTTGAAGTTCTTAGTTGATTTGTTAAAATCTTACTAATATTTTAAATGGAAATGTTTAGATGCATGGATTTTAGAAGGTATCTCTAGAACGGTTGAACGGATCTATATGCAATTTGAAATACACATTTAGAACATAGTCTGGAAGAACACATAAGCTACTAATAATGTTTAATCGTGAAAACTTAAAAAATTAAAGTTGTGCTCTTTTTAAGGTTTTATATGGTAATTATTTTCATTAAATATTGTCTTGAAACTTTAGTAAAATATCAGACATTAAGGCTATTTAAGCTCTAGGGGTGATTAATGCCGTCGTTTAGAACCTACGCAAATTAGCGAACGTTTAAATGAAGAATTACAGCGGCCATTTTGTCCAAAAAATGTACTTAGGGTTGGCAAGGAATTATTTTTATAAAGATACTCATTATACTCAGACATTCTGTGACGACGGTTAAGTTGATAAAGAGTTAAAATTTTATTGACAGACCGTTGGTTTCTGGGAACGAAATCTCTATATAAAACATAGCCTAATCCCTGTCATTATCTTTGACAAAAAAGAGATAACAATATGTTTTAAACAGTGATTTCAGTCTCAGAAATCCAAGGCGAATAAGCTTCAATCCATCATCTACTTCTACGATAAAACACCAAGCAGCAGTAGGATTTTCAAATTGAGCAAAATCCTCCACTTAATTTTATGTATCAAAGATTCTATACAATTAAATTCATATTGAAGACCAAAAATATCACCATAATATTTGTGGCAGCCCTAATGTACCGTGTACTTTTTCTCAGACGGGGTATACGAACCTGGTTTTCGTTGGTCGTTTATTTTTGAGCTACAAAAAAAAATCTCGTCTCGGGCGGTCGGTTCGACTTCGTACATGAGAAACGAGTCTGAGCAAGGGGAAGTGGGGGGGAAGGCTCTGGTTAAAAAACCTTAAATTAAATGCTATATTCGCGATTGCCCCTCTTGTGATGCAATGCACCTGTCATATTATTATTTTTTTTAAAACAATGAGACAAGAAAATCGAGGTTTTGTATTCATAATTCAATGTTGTAATATTACTTCGATGGTTATGATTACTTTATCTTAGTCTACCAACAACATGACCAAGTATTAAATATATTCGTACTAGACCTCGTGGTATTAAAA